ATCAATGAATATTTATGAAAATATAAATACCTAGATTGAAGAAAAATAGAGTACATTTTTTTTTTGGCTAGGCAGTGGGGTTAAGTAACTTGCCCAGGGTCACACAGCTAGTGAGTATCATGTGTCTGAGGCCGGATTTGAACTCAGGTCCTCCTGACTCTAGGGCCAGCGCTGTATCCACTGCACTTACAAAGCACTTTTCACACAAATATAGTTATATCTAAACAATTGGATAGATATTAATTGTTCATGGGTAGGTCAAGCCAGTATAATAGTGACAATTCTGCGTAAGTTAATTTACTTATTCAATGCCATACCACTCAAACTACCAAAAAATTATTTCATAGAACTGGGAAAAAAATCATAACAAAATTCATATTGAAGAACAAAAGGTCAAGAATATTAGGGGAATCAATGGGGGGGGGGAATGTGAAGGAAAATGGCCTAGCAGTTCCAGAATTCAAACCATATTACAAAGTGATAATCATCAAAACAATCTGGTACTGGCTAAGAAATAAAGGGGTGGGTCAGTGGAATAGATTAGGTACACAGTAAACAGTAGTAAATGACCCTAGTATTCTAGTGGTTGACAAACCCAGAGATCCAAGATTTTGGGACAAGAAATTGCTATTTGAGAAAAATTGCTTGGAAAACTGGAAAGCATTTTGACAGAAACTAGGTGTAGACCAACATCTCATACCATTTACTGAGATAAAATTAAAATGGGTACATGATTTAGACATAAAGGGTGATACCATAAGCAGATTAGGGAACCATGGAATATTTTACCTGTCAGATCTATGGGTAAAGGAAGAATTTTTGGCCAAATGAGATAGAGAGCATTACAGAATGTAAAATGGGTCGTTTTGATTACATCAAATTTAAAAGTTTTTGCGCAAACAAAACTAATACAACCTAGATTAGGAGGAAAGAAAAATGGGGAGAAGATTTTACAGCGTGTCTCTAAGGCCTCATTTCTCAAACATATAGAGAACTGAGTCAAATTTATAGGTGTACAAGTCAATCCTCAATTGCTATATGTCCAAAATTTTCAGAATAAGAAATCAAAGCTATCTGTAGTTATATGAAAAAATGCCCTAAATCACTATTGATTAGAGAAATGCAAATTAAAACAACTCTGAAATACCACCTCATACCTATCAGATTGGCTAATAATGACAGAAAAAGAAAATATCAAATATTGAAGGGGCTGTGGAAAAATAGGGACACTTATGCGTCATTGGTAGAGTTGTGAACTGATCCACCCCTTCTGGAAAGCAATTTGAATTATGCCCAAAGGCTATAAAATTCTACATACCCTTTGACTCGGCAATAGCACTACTAGGCCTATGCCCCATATAGTAGATAAAAGGAAAAGGACCGATATATACAAAAATATTTATAGTAGCTCTTTATGTGGTGGCAAGGAATTGGAAATTGAGGGGATGCTCACCCATTGGGGAATGGCTGAACAAGTTGTGGTACATGATTATGATGGAATACTGTTGTGCTACAAGAAGTGACAAGCAGAATTCTTTCAGAAAAACTTGGAAAGACTTGGGTGAAGTGATGCAAAGTGAAACGAGCAGAATCAGGAGAACATTGTCCACAGTAACAGCAATATTGTAAGGATGGTCAACCATGAGTGACTTATCTATTCTTAGCAATACTGTGATCCAAGGCAGTTCTGAAGCACTTGGGATGAAAAATGCTGTCCAGCCCCAGAGAAAGAAATGATGGAGTCTGAATGCAGATTGAAGCATACTTTTAAAATTTTATTATTATGGGGGGTTTTTTTTGGTCTGCTTTTTCTTTTCTTTTTTTCAATGTGGCTCATATGGATGTGTTTTGCATGGCTGCACATGTATAATCTATATCAGATTGTGGAGGAACGGGGGAAGGGAAGGAGAAAATATGGAACTCAAAGTAAAAAAAATGTTAAATTTTTGTTTACATGTAATTTAAAAAAATACATATTAAATTTTTTAAAGAGGAGATGGAGGGGAGGGGAAAGTGAATCCCAACATGGTACATGCAGCCTATGACATGTCATGCAGTTGGGAGAGCAAATGTATTCTACAGAAAACATTAAGTCAGCCAGTTATGCATTCCTTTTTTACTGACCCCCAGCAGAATGTCAGCTCCTTCAAGGCAGGGCTTCTTGGTTTTGCCTTTGTACCCCTAGCAACTACTTCTGTGCCCATTACAAGGTAGACTGTTAATAAATGTTTGTGAATTCATAAGTACCTAATAAATAACTGGTTTTTTTTTTAACTTACCCTCTAAATCGTTGAATGCTAGACATGCCAGCTCTTTATTATTTCCAACAGCAAAAATCTATTTTCTCTCCTTTTACCACCTCCTCCTTCTTTGAGGAAAGAAAAACAAAACCCTTGTAACAAATATGTATAATCAGACAAAACAAATTTCCACATTTGACATGTCCAAAAAATATATGTCTCGATCTGTACTGAGTCCATCACTTTTCTGTCAGGATGTAGGGAGCATGTTTTATCATGAGTCCTTGAGAACTGTGGCTGGTCATTGAGTTTATCATGGTGCTTAAGTCTTTCAAAGTTGTTTGTTTCTATAGCATAGTGGTTATTGTATAAACTCTTCTCCTGCATTGAGGGGATGCCCATCAGTTGGGGAATGTCTGAACAGATTGTGGTATGTGATTATGATAGAATACTATTGTCCTATAAGAAATGAGGAGCAGGATGCTCTCAGAAAAACCTAGAAAGACTTACATGAGCTGATGCAAAGTGAAATGTATTGTGTATAAAGTAACAGCAATATTATAAAATCATCAGCTGTGAATGACTTAGCTGTTCTCAGCAATCCAAGACAGCTCTGAAGGATTTATGAAGAAAAATGCTGTCCATCCCAAGAGAAAGAACTGTTGGTATCTGAAAAGAGGTTGAAGCATACTTTTTTTTTACTTTATTTTTCTTAAGGGTTTTTTTTTGTTCTGTGTTTTCTTTCACAACATGACTATTATGAAAATGTTTTGCATGACTATGCATGTATAACCTATAGCAAATTGCTTGCCTTCTCATTGAAAGGCGTTGGGAAGGGAGGAAGGGAGAGAATTTGGAACTCAGTTATAATAATGAATGTTAAAAATTGTTTATACATGGGGAAACTGGGGCAAAATACTAAATAAATTAAAAAGAAAAAGAAAAAAGACAATAAAATAAAAATTAAAAAAGTGTTCCCCTGGTTTTGCTCACTTCACCCAAGCCTTTCCAAGTTTCTCTGAAGTCACCTACTTCATAATTTTTTTTTGAATTGTGCGATACCATTCCATCATTCATAAATAGCATAATTTGGCCATTCCTTCGTTGATGGGCACCCCTTTAGTTTCCATGTCTTTGCCACTCTCTAAGACACTGGTACCTATGGGTCCTTTTTATTTGAACTCTTTGGGGTACAGGCCTCGTAGTAGTACCACTGGGTCAAGAGTTATGCATGTTTTTCCAAATTGCTTTCCAGAATATGCTGGTTCTTTTTAAAATCTGTTGGCCTGAAGACAGTGATAACTAGTAATAAAAGCTGGCATGAAGCTCTCCTAAAAATTAATTTGCAGTTTTAAAAGCATGCTGTTGATGGTAGAAAGTTTTAGACAGTAACAGTCAACTAGCACCCTAGGATTGAGTTCAGACAACTACCCACCCCTCTTTTACAGAAGAGGAAACTGGCCCCTGGTGACATGAAGTGGCCACCTCCAAGTCAGATGGTAGTAATTTGCAGTGGTGGGGTTTGAACCTGGGTCTGCCACCTTCTCTTCCTGTTCCCTTTCCCTGCTCTAGGCGGTCTCTTTCAGGTTGGTTTCAGCATCATTTTATGTCAGAATTCCGCTTCATGGGCGTGAATGGGCCGGAGTACATTCCTCCTGTAAGTGACAGAGCCCAGGCCACTTTTCCTCTAGTACTGTTTTCAGAAGTATAATCACCTGCATTTGGGTGGAATGGTCATGCTCACTCTTGTTTCCTACCCTGTTTATAAAATTGGAGCCACTGATTATATGAGTGTAAAACGGTCTGCATTTGTTTGTTAAACATCCGTCCCTTAGAGATGCCGGCCTCACCCTGGCCTCAGTGACTCCTGTGAGAGGGAACAGAGTTTGTTTTTTTTAATCACCCTTTGCCACCGTGCAATCTCGTGCTGCAGGGCAGTTGTGGGCTTACTGTGAGGACTCCACCTGCCCTTTTCTACGTTTAAGAAAAGATGCTATATCTCCTTTAGGTGCCAATCAGAGACTGAACCCAGGCACGTGAGCCAGAGCTTACCTGTGTTTTACTGACAAAACTTCTCCTTACTTGGGCACTTTTCCTCATTGGGTCACAGGAAGCAGGTCCGGATTTGGAGACAGTGGACCTGGGCCTTGTCCCAACTCTGCCTCCTATTAGGTGACCTTCCGTAGGTCACGTCATTGTAGGCCTTTACTTGCATCTTCTATAATAGGAGGGCTCTGGGTGGGCTAGATGACCTAAGTCTCCTCTCTCTTCTGAAATCAAGCAGTAAGCTTTCTCTGTGGGCTTTAGTTAACCTGATAAAGTTTGGAGCTGCAAACTTAGTCCTTTTCTGAATACATCGTGGTAATAAAGATGTTGTATGTAAACAGATACCTTGGAAGATAAACTGAGAGTGTTTCTCTTCTTTGCCCTCTGGTTCTCCCCGCCTGGGTTGAGTGCTGGCCTTCGGCCTCCTCTGGAGTTGTAGTTGCTTGTAGTTGTTTGGGTTGGGTGTTTTTGTTTTTGTTTTTTAAGAAATTGCGTTTGATCTCACCTGAGCAGCATCTGGGGTGAGATTTGAACTTAAGTCTGTCTACCTGTTGCACCTATCTCAAAAGTGGGCATCGAATGAAATAACATATGTCACGTAGAAAGTAATAGTAATACTTTAAAGTGCTACCAGCTGTCAGCTGAGGTTATCATCATAATGGTCCCACAGTCACCACGAATTCCTCTCTCTCTCTTTCTCTCTCTGCTTTCTAGTTCCCATTTTGCGATGGTGCCCACACAAAGCACAATGAAGAAACTGGCGACAACGTGGGACCACTGATCATCAAGAAAAAAGAGGCGTAATCAGTGGACATTGTAGACTGATTTGTCCTAATGTTGCTGATTGTTTTACAAGGCATTATATTACTTCTGTCCAATTTCCTTTCCCCCAGGGTTCTCAGTGTGGTTTCTTGTAAGTTAAGGCTTTCATTTATGTGCCCTCTGCCTTACTACTTGTCCAAACACCATGGTGACACTCACTGTAAAGAATCCTCCTGGCCTGTGGGTAGTTCTTCTGTCTTGTAGGGATTGTGTTCATCGGTTTCTTCAAATTTCAAATAATGACAGGATATCCTTGGGTCTGTATGTTGATGTTAATATATTAAATTATTTTCAAAATCATGTATATGCAAATTGTAATTGCATGCCATGAGCAGATTTGTCACAAAGTCTCTTCCAAAAAGAGGACAGTTTCTTTGTTTAAAACTAAAAATGCCTGACCTGGCTGGTTGAGAATTTGACTTTTTACTCAGCGCACAATAGGTGAGGGAATAGAATGTTTGAAATGTATTTGCAGAGTTTATGATCCAAAGGAAATCTCCATTTTGAGGGATTGTCAGTTGTGATGTGAATTTTATTAATATTTACACATAAATTGGACCATCATCAGGGGATGGAGAGACAGATTTGGGGTGATTTAGTTCATGTCCTTGCTGTCTTTATCTCATATAAATACTTCATTTATACATTTCCAATCCTGGAAATGTTTATCCAAGAGCCATTACATGCAAACTAGTTGAACAAGCAGTAAGATCCCTTGAAATGTTGAGATGTGGGTTCTTTGCCCACAAGCTGCTGTTGAAGACTAGTGAGGAAGGACAGATGAACTAGAAAGGGAGGACAGTATCTAGTCTTTCATAATGTGCTTCCGTGTTGTAAAGAGTAGTTAGAACAGAGCAGTGGAAAGGTCCTTGCCACTAGGAATGGGGGGAGCAGGCATCTAGGTAATTGAGGGGGAGTTTTCGTTGCTTTACTGATGTTCTTTTTTAGTATCATTGTCATTCAGTGACACACACACACACACACACACACACCACCCCCATTAGAACCCTCCCTTGTAACACATAGGTAGTCAGGTCAAACAAGTCAGTAAATTTGCCACACATGACAGTGTGTACCTCATTCCATACCTGTAGTCTACCTCTGCTCTGCCAGGAGGTGGGAGGCATATTTCACATGTGGCTGATGTTAAGGAATTTTATTTGAAGAGGAAAATAGGAATTAAGTCCTCTTCTTCCAAACCGAATGTTCTTTTTTTCTTAATGTAAAAAAGGCACACACTGAAAACACTACAAGGTTATGTTTTTGCGACGTAGACCAAAGACCAGCATTTCTGATTCATAGAGGGGAAAAAGAGAAAATTCAAAACTAAAAATATCTGGTAGTAATAGAAGGGTTAAAACTGGTTCTTATGTATCTTAAATAACACAGGTGGGTTTGGGGGTTTTTTTACCAAAGGTTAAAGGGTAGAAAAGATGAGAATTTTCTGCATCAGTGCATTCAAAGAAAAGAAATTAGGAGTGTATTGACACTGTTAGTTTAAGGGGTTTAAGAAGATGCCACATGTGAAATATAGGTGTTTGAAGACAGGAGAAAGACAGGTTTTATATATAGGCCCTGGTTGTTCAGAAAACATGCTAATTCCAAATGTGTCAATTCACTTGAACTGACCAAATCCATGATAGCAGAAAGTGACCTTTATCCTTTCTTCCTGGTAGAGTTAAATCCTTAAGAAGCAACATATTTCTCTGTGATTTGAGAGTGTATTGGGTTGATATTTGCTAAGTAAGACCCAATGAATGGCTAGCCCACCATCATGAATACCTTGATGAAGACAGATGTCCCTGTGCTGCTCCCTGTGTAACTAATAGGAGCCATACCGTACAGAGTGCAATTATTTATGACCATCTTTATCTAGTAGATATCTTCAGACATAGCCTACATAACATGTGGAATTGGAGTATAGTTTCCCATAACACTTTCCTCATGAGTTGGGTTTTCTTTGATTCATTTTGTGTTTTCCTAGAAGTGAGTAGGTTCATTAGAGGCAGCAGTGGTCTTTGAAAGACTAAGCACCATTCTTTAGTCAGAAAACCTCATGCAGGAAATCAGCTTTTCTTGGGTTAAGCCTCCAAGTTATTACCAACCATGCATGCCTGAACTGGGTGTAGAGTAACTCGTTTCACCTTGGTTTTAAATTGGAAATGTCCTTCACTGTGACTTTGGTCAGACAGGCATTTTTACAGTTTTGCTGAAGAATAATTCTATAATTGTTCTCAGAATACTTGTTGAGCAGCAGAATGAGGGCTTTTTATCTGATTTGGATCACAGGTCTTTGATAGTAGCAGTGTAATATGCTTAAATGTACTTTCAAGGGTGTGTTCACATTTTGTACAAGATTTTGAACTAAAATTGCTTCATTCTGTGAAATACTGTGTTCCTATCGTTGCTTAATTAACCTAGAAACTGGAAAACTGGCTGAGATGGCATGAATGTTGGTGGGAATTCACGTGCCAACTGTCATGTGCGCAGAGGAGGCTTCTTGGGGCCTGTCTCACCTCCTGAAAATTGAATGTGTAAATAGGTTCCAAAGGGCTTTTGTTTGTAGCTTATCATTAGGAGACAGTTTCTCCTCTTTCATCATTTCCTCTATAAGGGAATAATTTACCTTGGGTCTGTGAACATTTTCTCTGTCTCTCTCAACCCCTCACTCTTCCCCCGAATATATAATATATAATTGACATAGAACTTAATATATAGCATATATTTAATTTTATAAAATTATAATTTAATATAATTAGCTTCCTTTGTAATCCTATATAACTTATTTTGTGAATTTAAAACCATAATTCTGAGGAGCCCAGAATCTCACCAGATGCCAAAGGAGTCCAAAGGTCCTAATAGATTTTGAACATCCCAAATCCCGAAGGTTCAAGACTTCTTTCTCTCCTGTCTTCTCCCCTCTCCCCTCTCCCCTCTCCCCTCTCTCTTCTATTCTCTTCTCTTCTCTCCTCTTCTCTGTTAACTCTGGGCATTTAGTGCTAGGTTGAGAATGAGCATGATTGGTCCTTTGCAGAAACACGATCCATAGAAACTCAGTTAACCTAACATTTATTTATTGAGAGACAGTATCAGTGGTCTTGGAGTCAGGAAGATGGATTCAAATTCTGCTTCATATTGTTGTGAAATTTGAAGGAGAAAACACAGGTGCCCCAAAAGTTCTATAGCTTAAAACTTCACTGACTTTTGGGCCACCCTGTAAAAGTGTTTTGCAAACCTCCACAGCCCCAGAAAAATCCCAGCTATTATTGTTTCTAAATACAGCAGGTCTCAGCTTTGAGTCATTTCAGTAATAGGTACAAACAACATGTACCTTCAGTTTGCCTTAGCTTCCAAATTTCAAGGTCATCAGAAAGGAAGATAGATTTCCCAGGGTCAGCATGTGCCAGTCATTTTGTAAATGCATTTGAGAGTGGAAAATTTGGTTGCTTTCCTTAACTGAAGTAACCTCCAATGAGCAGTTGCTAGCTTGGTGTTTTCCTTGACAATTCAGCCTCATGACGGAGCTGGGAATCAAAGCTGTTTTCACTGCCAGGGTGATAGAGTGATCAGGTATTACGTTAACTGGGCTTTTTAAAAACTACAATAAGGAATTAAGATGAAAGCTTCAATTCTGCTGAGTGGATCAAAGCTCCTCTTGATCCCATTCGAAGGCAGAGCAAGGCTTTATGTGGCATTTAGCAGCTAGGTGGTACAGTGGGCAGAGTGTTGGACTTGGAGTCAGGAAAGACCTGGGTGTAGTCATTTAATTCAGCTTTGGCTTCCTCATCTATAAAATAACAGTACCTTCTTCCCAGCGTGGTTGTGAAGGTAAAACGACATCATTATTGTAGTACAAAGTATGAAGGTGGGGTGTACTACTTCCAGTCCTGCCGCTGCTTAGCTCTGACCTTTGGATAAATTGCCGAATATCTCTGGGCCTCATCTCATCTGTAGGACAAGGTCACATGGGACCAAAGTAAGGAAATAAGCATTTGTTAAGCACCTTCTGTGTGCTAGGCAGTGTGCTACTTCTCAGATATCTTACTTGATCCTCACAACGACCTTGGGAAGTCAGTGCTATCACTATCCCCATTTAAAGATGAGGAAACTGAGACAGATACCAGCTAAATGACTGGCCCAGGATTACATAGCTAGTAAGTATCTGAGGCCAGATTTGAATTAAGGTCTTCCTGATTCCAGGCCCTTATCCACTGTGCCCTGTCCTGGAATTAAAATTTGGAATAAGATTCTTTCTACTGTGAAGACTTTGAGACATCAGTGCTCTATACTCCAGCTTCTAAGTTCTATATGATTTTGAATGTTTCAATAATCATACGAGATCCAAAGAAATGATATTTGCAACATGTCTGGCACATAGTAAATATTTAATTGTTCTCTTCCATTCCCTCTTCCCTTCATACAGGGAAAAAAATGAAAAAAAAATTTCTGATCCAGGCTCTTCAGCTTTTTTAAAAAAAACTTATTTCTGCCTTCCTGAAAAAGTCACTCATCTGGAAAGATTAATCCAGAGATAATTCAATTTGGTTGTTCTTTTTAAGTCCCGTCTTCCACCTAATTAATCTCATTAGGCCAATAGAGATCTCCCATCAGCCCCTCACAGTCATCTTTCTCTGTATCCTGACATTAGCATATAATACAAGGGCTGTCACCATTAGAGAGAAAAGGGCATTTTATTTTCAAAATCAGTGGGAGCTTCCAGGTCAACTAAGGGTCTCTGGGAGCAAACAGAGTATGATCTCAAGCAGACTTTACCACCCTGGAAAAGCTTTGACTACAGACCTGTTGGTCTCCCACTACCCTAGCAGAGCCTTAAATAGGGTGAGGTTAATGGAGCTTTGCCCCAGAGTGGAAAATTTAACGGCCACCTTTGGGAGAAGCACTTCCCCACTGCCCCATCCCTCAGACCATGATGCTAGTGTTCCAGGGGCACATTGCTCCCTCCCAACCTCTAGTCGACCTTCTCTCCTACCACTCTGACATTTGCCGAAGCTTAAGAAGAAAAGCTGGCTCCTTCTGACTGTGTGCCCAGTGGCCAGCCTGGGTAAGTCTGGACAGACTAACTACCAGCAGATTGGCCGCTGTGTGGCGGGTAGAAGCAGCATGAAAGCAGAAGGAACAGGACAGGTCTTGGAGGACCCAGCTCTCCTACTTGCTAGCTCTGACCTTGGGGCCAGTTGCTTAACTTCTGGCGGTCAGATTCTTCATCTGTAAAATGAGAAGGTTGACCCTGACAGTTGGTTCCTAATTCTGGACTTTGCAGTGCTGTGATTCTGGCATCCATGA